AATAAAGAATCTCTATTCCAATAAAATGACTTTTTAAAAATTAATAAGGTGGGGCTGGTGAGATGGCTCAGTGGTCTAAAGCACCTACTTAGAACAAGCTTAGCAAAGCACAGGGACTGCGGTTCAATCCCCCAGCACCACTTGCCAGCCAGCCCCGCCCCCTGGTGTGCTGAGCTGGCCACACACACACACACACACACAAATAAAATTAAAAAAATAAAAATAAGGTGACTATTCTAATAAAGTGATTCTGTTTTAAAAAATTAAAAGCTGAAACATAGAAAAGCAAAAGAAGAAAGGCAAAATCACTGCCTGGTTAGTCGTTAGGTGAATGTCATCTTTGCTCATATATTTGTGTTATATGAGTTCACATACATACTCCGTGTTTGTACATAAAGGTGCATCAGCATTTGTACAACTCATTTCTCTTGTGTGCTTTTTCAGTATGTATTATTGTCAGCTTTAAAAGGGAAGCAATTCTTTTTCCTTCTTTAAGCACTTTTGTAATTTTGTGTGTTTTCACTTATTTAAACTTCTAGACCAAAGCCTATTTGAGCTAAGAATTATGAATGCCTTTTTCTTGGTAGCATGTTTAAGTGGAATTTAGTTCTCATGTTATCTTTGGAAAGATGACTTTCAAACACATTTAAAAATGTTTATTCTGGGCCAGGGGTATAGTTCAGTGGCACGGTGCCTGTCTGCCAAGTGCAAGGTCCTGAGTTTGATTCCTGGTACCAAAAAAAAGTATGTTCTATGAAGGAATAGTAAGTGATGTGAGAAACTTTTTAACAGAATTAATCTCCTATGCTGGGATTTTTTTTGGGAAAGAGGTTTGGTTTATTTGGATCTCAGTCTAATATGTGGTCTATGCTGGCTTTGAACTACCCTCTGTAGTCGAACAGGCCTTAGATTATACCTTCCCTGCTCCACCGCTAGAACTACAGGCATGTGTCACCATACCTGGCTTCAAGTCCAGTTTTCATAATTCTGTAGAATGTTACATTAACTTTATGTCAGTTGGTGATAATTATGATAGAGACAGAAGTATGTACTTGTGATAAGGAATTTTATTTGACATCATAGGAGAACTAATACTTGTTGCAAGTTTTGTTTTACTAATACGAATAAAGGAATAACAATCTTAGGTCTTCTATACTTTTTGAATTAACCCTGTAAAAGTTGGTGGCACTTTAGACACTTTTAGTGGCCATTGTGGGACTGCAGCTGAACTTTGAAACATTTTTGATCAGTGAGTGTGGGTCAGTTCCTGTTATCAGAAACTCCTGACATACTGTTTTCTTGTAGCAGAATTTTATATGGGTGAATAAATGTTTTAAAGTCGCAGTTGAGAAATTTAACAACTAAAATAGATTATATAGATTATGCCTAATTTTAAAGATTAAAATTTAATCTCTACCAGTGATGTGGTGAAATGAGAAAGGCAGACACCAGAAAGACCATTGCTGCCACACTGATTTAGTAGAAATTTGGTGCTTGAAAGACATAAATTATGGGAGAAACTGAGTTAATGAAGTTATATGAATGAGGTATTTTGTGTGAGGTTTTTTCGTATGACAAATTTTATGCAAAGTGAAGTTTGAACAGTGGATAACTACTGGGATTTTTTTTTTTTTTTTTTTT